ATCGGGGTGAGGGCCAAGTTGAGGAAGATTTTGAAAAACCTCTTGGATGTGCCTCTTATATTTCCTCCTGCGATCTATAGAAACACACCAAAAGAAAAGATTCCTCATTCAGCAGCAGATATCATACAGGTGGTCATTGACTTACCACAGTTCATTTTCTGACCATTCAAAGTTATAAAGGCAATGAAAAAAGTGACCGATGCCCGTTTCTCACACTTACAACCATTGCAGCATCTCTGTGATCACTCTGTCAGGTTTCCTAAAAATGCCCTAATTGATTCATGAGTTTCGAGCCAAGTTTCAATACAAAACTAGTCATTTATTAGGAGCATCATAGATCTTTTGGCAGTCAGATCTGATCTTTGTTTGAGTTATAGCTGAACCTTACCCCTGTTCCTTCCCTCCCCTCAGTCTGTGTCATAAATCACATTCCCCAATGAGGTGCACCCCTCCCAAGCCTGCTGCGGTAATCTGAGATCCGACTTTAGCTGAAAGTAGCGTGGAAAGCGCTCTCCCCCTCTTCTCTCTCTGACAACATTAGAAGTTGACACACAAACACGATCAAAATTCAGATGCTTGGCAACTGATTCATATTTATGATGGTTGTATTCAGGGGTCAAGTGCACAGCACAGGGCCCTAAAATCAAACTCATTTTGCATCCTCCACCTCTGTGCTGAATCTCAGGCACTCTCTAGCTCAGGAAGAGACACCTGGGTACATGGGTTGAGCATGCAAAGAATAAGAAGAATGACAACATTGGAAGGGACCTTGGAGGTCTTCTAGTCCAACCCCCTGCTTAGGCAGAAAAAACCCTATACATTCCAGACAAATATTTGTCCAATCTCTTCTTAAAAATCTCCAGTGTTGGAGTATTCACAACTTCTGGAGGCAACTTCTGTTCCACTGGTTAATTGTTCTATATGTCAGGAAATGTCTACTAACTTCCAGTTTGCTTCTTTCCTTGATTAGTTTCCATCCGTTGCTTCTTGTCCTGCACTCAGGTGCTTTGGAAAACAGGTTGACACACACACACCCTTCAGCTCTGGGGCAGCCTCTCAAATATTGGAAGATGCTATCATGTCCCCCCTAGTCCTTCTCTTCACTAGACCAGCCATGCCCAGTTCCTGCAACCGTTCTTCGTATGGTTTAGCCTCCAGTCCCCTCATCATCTTTATTGCTCTTCTCTCCCCCCTTTCTAGAGTCTCAACTTTTTTTATTTAGTGGCAATGAAACCTGGATGTAATATGGTTTTACCACGAGGCTCCAGACTGTGGAGGGCACTAGGCTGACATTGTAAAACCAGAGAGCATGGTAAAGCCCTATGGGGCACTAAATTATTGCTATTATAAAGCGGTATTAACACTTCTCATGCTGTTGATTCTATCGCTCTGTTAGTGCAGCCCAGAATTGTGTAAGAAATGAACCCAGGGCTCTGTGGCACTGAAGGCACTAACCTCGGGCGGGCGGTGTTTCCTTAGGGAGCTGTTCCTGCCAGGGGCCCCTGCCAGGGCCCATCTCAACCATGCCAGGCCCTCCAAATACTTGTCAACACAAATCATCCACCTGGGAACATCAATGGGGCCATTCAAAAGCCTGTTCCACAAGCCAGCCTTTGTGCCAGTAACCAAGAGAGATGCACAACACAAGGCCGTGTGGTCTAACACACCCACACATTCCTCCTTTCACCCATCGGCCCCTTTGAGGACCATGGTTCTCAATCTTGGCCACTGGATGTTGTGTAGACTTCAACTCCCGGAATTCCCCAGACAGACACAGAGGGGCTGCTTCAAAGTCACCTAGCTGGCTTTCACGCCCAAGGCAGGACTAGAACTCGCCGTCTCCTGGTGATTGGCCCAACTTGACCCAGATGGCTTTCATGCCTAAAGTAGGACTAGAATTTACAGTCTGTTCCGACCGAGGATTTCCGAGAGCCTGAAGCAAATTCTTTGTCCCGACAAAAAACCCTTTTATTAATTTGCTATGAAATCTGCTCCTTCACATCCAGCAAAGTCTTTTGTGGGAGGATTTACAGTGACAGACCTTCTCTGGCTTGGAGAGCTGCCAGGCCGAACTTGGCAAGGAGTCTTAGAGAGTCATGAACCAACTAAGCAAACTAATCATCTCCTGCAAGCTCCACTCTCCTTTTGCTCCTCTTTTATTTCCTCTGGGAGGGGCCATTCATCGTCCACCTGTGCCTTTACTCCCAAGTTGGCCCTTGTTCCTTAGCTGTTTCCTTTGTCTGGCAACTCTGAACACTGGGAACAGGCTCCAGCTGTTCTTCTGCCTCATTGATGTCTGACTCTGAGGGCAGCTGATAGCTGGCATACGGCTCTGCTCCCCTCTCTGCCTCCGATACAGAGCCCTCGTCGGAGCCTTCCCCAGACTCCAGGACTGGCCCATCTTCCTCCACAAACTCCTCACTGTCCGACTCTGCTGGCAGCTCCCCTGGCGGGCCACAACCCAGTCGCCTAGTGAATGGCCCAAAGGCAACCAGGTAACTTTCTGCCTATGACGCAACTAGAATTCACCCTCTCCTGCATAAGCCACCGAAAGATGCTAGACGGCACAGGATGGGAAACCAATAAAAAACCCCAAATGCTTACGTGGCTGGTCTTGGGCCACAGTTTCCTATTTTTTAATGGCCTGGGCTATTGCAAAATTGAGTGGGCAGCGCAATCAGTGGGGTTATCCTGCTTCAAAAATGGTGATTAAATAAATGCGTTATTCTCAAACTCACCCCCTCCCACGCCCTGGGGGAACCACGCTGAAGTTTATTCCCAGGGG